ACTTAAAAGGTGTCTCACGTCTCTAGAGTAGATGGACATGTAATGACAATGGGTATTCCATTGTTTTGGGGCACTGCTGCAATACATAACCATTGTTAAGGAGATGGAGAGATCTGGGCACCCAGATGCTGAAGCTTTGCCTGCCGTGGGTGTGAGGCCTGCACACACACACTTGCCAGGGATTAAGGCAGCAGCAGCCTTAGAGAGACAGAAAGGTTGAGGTGCAAGTCATGACAGGAGAGGGGAAAGAGAAAGTCATCCAGGGTGCTTTGGGCAGTGAAGGGGCTTAATAAATGGTTGTGGAGTGAAGTGTTTAGAATTCCTGGGTAAAGAAATGCAAGGGGCTAGGCTGCAGGCACCACAGAGACTGGGGATAGGGGATCAAGGCCAGAGGGTAGACGAAGGGAAGAAGACTGGGCCTAGCAAAATGATGCTTTATCTCTGGTGGTACTCTTTATAGACACAGCACACTACTCAAGTGTTAGAGGTCAGGGAATTTTCTTTTCTTTTTCTCTCTTCTCTTTTTCTTTCTCTGTTTACTTCTTTCTCTCTCTCTCTCTCATTCCCTCCCTCCCTTCCTTCCTTCCATACTGGATCTCTATTTTGTTCATGATGGAAGTGCAGGAGGCACTCTCTAATTCTAATAAGCCTGATCCCATTGCTGACTGCCATGAGAGCTTTGACCTGCTCCGTGTCCAACCTGGACTGGATTGCCCCTCTTTAGAGAGCCTGGTGGGCCTCCACTCCCAGAGGATCACCACACTGCTGGAGGATTTAGGGCAGACATTTTAGTCTGCAGACATTTAGTGCAGATCGGCTTTAATTTTACTGCAGCTCAGAATGCCTGATCAAGTGATCCACAAGTCTCATTATCGGGGATTACATGTTATGCCACCATGGAGGGAATTTTCCCTAAAGAGCATTAATTTACAGCTAAAGGAAGAGATTATGTAGAAGAGAATTTCACAAGATCCTTTGAAAAGGTGCTTAAAAGAAAAGGATGAAAGGCCAGAGAGAAGAAAACTTGAAATGCGTCCTTCCACTTTTAGAATATTTAATTAATTTTTTAGTAAGACATACCTAGTTTTTAAAACTCACAAAACGTGTGTGTGTGTGTTCTAGCAAGCCAAGGAACTGTGATCTGATCACCATAGTTGATGGTCTCTATGGGTTGCTATGCCTGAAAAAATTCACTATTTTGTGGCCAACATGGTGATGAATCTTTCTGAATTTGGCCAGACCAGAAAAGCGGTCCTTTAGCAAGAAACACACATTGCCCATTAATGGGCCCACATCTGCAGCCTTTCCAACTTGATAGGAGCATTGCTGCAACAACTCAGGTTGGTGTCCAAGCCATGACGAGGCAACAAAGCAGACCAATGATAAGTAAAAACAACTGCACGTTCCTTTCTCAGCTGTGTTTAAAGATACACAGAGTCAAACGCAAGTATTTAAGAGACGAGAGGAGCTGAGCGCTTGGTGTGCATGACGAGCCCTCCACCGAGAGTCCGGAGAGGGGACGCTGAGACTGAGAGTGCCTGGACGCCCCCAGCTGTGAGCTCTCTCTCCGGTGCGTCTGTTACCAAGTCACCCACCTGGATTTTACACTTGGCCTCCACCAGCTGCAGTTTGGTCTGGGCCAATTCCAGCTCCATCTCCCGCAGCTGTTTCTTGAGTGAGTCCTTCTCGTCGTCAATTTCAATGCCCTGGTTTTCTCTGCTTATAGCTGCTAACTTCAGCGCCCCTTCCTTGTTGAAAATCTCACTGCAGTGTTTGCATGCCATCACCTTCCCCTGCAATGTCCAAGCAGATAGCCAGTTATACTTCATTTCACGGGACTGATCATTCCCTAGAACACATTCACTTGTTTGCTGTTTGCTTATGGTGATATTGTCTGGAGGTGTCTGTATGGTGGAAAGGGGGCTAGACACGAAGCAGGAAATCTGAGCTCAAATGCTTTGAATAAATCATTTAAGTGCTTGGAGCCTCAGTTCTTTCATCTGTAAAATCAGAGGATTATACTAGATGATCTTTAAGGGCCCTTTAGTTCTAAATCTTGCCACACTATAATATTTCTGTGACACATGAGGGCCTGTTCTGTACCAGGCATTTTTCTTGTATTTCAAAATATAAAATAGCTACACTGGAAGAGGTCACAAGGCCTTCCAGTATATATTCCTGGGACTTGACAGCATTATATACAAAGCATCTGAGAGTGATAGCATTCTTCTCCAAAAGAAAGGGAAGAAAATAAGCATTTATATAGCATCTACTATGTGTGAGGCACTGTACATCTTATTTGATCCTCAAAACAACCCTGGGAAATAGATGCTATCATTATCTCCATTTTATAGTTGAGGAAACTGAAGCAAACAGAGGCTAAGTGTCCAAGAGCATACTGTTAAGTGTCTGAGGCTAGATTTGAACTCAGGTCTTCCTGACTCCAGGCCCAGCACTCTTATCCACTGTGCCACCTGGCTGCCTACAAGATCTTCACAGATCAACATTTCCCAAAATTTTACTTTAGAATCTACCTGTCCTTAAAAATGAAATTTATCTCATCTTCTTCAATGACGAGCCTACATCTAAAATGCCTCCTCTAACAATTGGAGCCTATATCATCTTCAGTTCTCAGAAAAGGTGGAAAATCCCTGGAAACTATCTCTGAAAAAAATCAATCCCCCCCTACCCATGAATAAGCTTATTTTCTAAATTTGACACATAAATAAGAAGACTGACCACTAGGTGGCAGTATACAAGCAGAATCTTTTTTTTCTCTCCCAAAGAGAGAAGTTTGACTAATCTGGTTGAAGATAACTAGATAATCAGCACACAAATATTTACACTGAGTATCTACTAAATCTTCTTGTTTTCTTATATTGATTATGAAAGTATACAGGGTGTCAGAGAACACGCACACATTCACTGAGTCGGTGCCAGTGCATGTGATTTCTAACCTCTCCCATTATTGCTTGCTTTTTCTCCATCCAACCCTCAGGCCCACACAGGCAAACACAACCCTTCAAATGGCCCAGGAGAGGACCACGCAGAGGCAAGGAAGCACTACATCGGTGCTTGAGAAGGACGTGCCCCCCAGGAATGAGCATGTGTAGAACCTGACCCACTGATGGCCAGCTGGTGAGGTGCCACCGTCAGGAGGAGTTTCCCCTCCTACGTCCTTATGTAGCACGGGCACGTGTGGAGGCCATGGGCTCAAATTTCACTCCCATACCTTGACAACTTCCAGCTCCTCCTTGTTAGCTGCCTGTTGCTTTTCCAGCCTGGTACTCAGCTGCGAGCAGATCTAAATGAGAGACAATGAATTTCTCTGTTGGAAGAGGTCGGTTTTTTTTATAAATTGTGAGCACAGTTATTACTAGCATCGATACAGCACTTCAAGGTTTGTGAAGTGCTTTAGCTTATTAGACTTTCACAATAATCCCGGGAGGTAGGTGCTATTATTATCTTCATTTTATAGATGAGGAAAGTGAGGATGGGGAAAGGTTAAGTGATTCGCCCAAGATCATATAGCCAGTGAGTGCCTTCTGAGGCAGGATCTGAACTCAAGTCTTTCTGATTCCAACTCTAATGCATTATGAACTGCATTATTTAGCTGTGAATCAGTTTTTAGGTTTCAGAAGACAGCTATCTGGTCCTGTAAGTCACTAACCATCTTCCCTCTGTGTATTTACAGGGAGAAGTCTAAAAATGTCACTTCAAATGGAAACTGCAGATCTGAAGAGGTAGATTTAGCTTTCTCATTTCACTGACTCACTGGGTCACTGACAAATAACTTCATGTTTCAACCTAGAAGCAAGCAATCAGCTAATGTTGTCTGAGCCCCAACTTGTTCAGGGCTGTGGAATCTGACGAGCCACCACTTTGGATAAGCCTCCTTGTGCAGAACCGCAATTGTTTTAATTTGAATTTCTCTAATCAATAATGATTTACAGCATTTTTTCATATGACTATAGATAGCTTTGACTTCTTTTTCTGAAAACTGCCTGTTTATATCCTTTGACCATTTATCAATTGAGGAATGACTTGTATTCTTATAAATTTGACTCAGTTCTATATATACCTGAGAAATAAGGCCTTTGTCAGACAGATTTGCTACAAAACTTTTCCCCCAGTTTTTTGCTTTCTTTCTAATTTTGGTTACATTGGTTTTGTTTGTGCAAAATTTTTTTAACTTTACATAATCAAAATTATCTATTTTACATTTTGCAATGCTCTCTATATGTTTAGTCCCAAATTATTTACTCATCTATAGATCTGACAGGTAAACTGTTCCATGCTCTTCTAACATGCTTATTTTCTATGTCTAAATCATCATGTACTCATTTTGACCGTATCTTGGTATACAGTATGAGATGTTGGTCTATACCTAGTTTCTGCCAAATTGTTTTCCAGTTTTCCCAGCAGTTTTTGTCAAATAATGAGTTTTTGTCCCAAAATCTTGGATCTTTGGGTTTATCATATACTAGATTACTACAGTGATTTACTACAATGTATTATGCACCTAATCTATTCCATTGACCCACCCCTCTAGCCAGTCCCAGACTGTTTTTGAAAATTACCGCTTTATAATACAGTTTGAGATCTGGTACAGCTAGACCTCTGTATGCCATTATAAAGCAAATGAAATAATGAAATCAAATTGATCCTAGCGGTAAAAGGGAGTCCCTAGAATTTACAGATTGGGGCGGGCGAGGGTGACATGGCCTGACTTCATTTTGGTAACTATGTGGAGACAGATTGGAGTAAGGATAGATGAGACAAGGAACAAGACCAATCCAGAGGCTACAGTAATAGCCAAATGAGAGGTGATGAGGGCCTGTGAAACCGGAAAGAAGAGGACATTGGTGAGAGATGTGGAAGTAGAAACATGATTTGTCTGTCAACTGAAGCGATATAGGAGAGAGGGAGGAGTCAATGATGAGGCCCAACTTGTGACTCTGGATGGCTTTTGTTTTCAACCTAGTCATTTTTCATTAATCTTCTTCTCCCCTACCCCAGTGATCTCTTCCTTGAAACCAAAGCAAGAACAACAAAATTTAAACTGCTAAGTGCCATGAAAGCAGAACCCATGCCTTAACCAAACTCTGTATTTTCCAAGCATCCTTAATAAAGGATTTGTTGAATTAAGCTGAACGCACACTGGTTCAATCTAATTTAAAAACATACAAACGCATGTTGAAAGAAAAAGGGAGAGTTTCTGGCACCTGTCTGAGAAGACAAGGTGCTCCGTTACCTGTTTGTATTCAGCAATGATGGCTGTTGTTTTCTTTATTTCTGATTCTGCCTTCTCAAGCTGTCTCCTAAAGACTTCTTTTAGCTAGGGAGTGAAAGAAGGAGAGAAAAAAGGGACAGCCAATGATCAGGCTAATTTCACAAATACCTTTCTTTAAGTCTTATCAATCAAATTATCAATAACAATAATAACAAGAACAATAAATGCAGATGATCTTTACTTCAGATGGAGCGCCATTTTATAAAACTCAATCTTCAGAGATATGATGAAGCTTGCCTTTTTTCTTAGAAAAGATTTTTTTCTGCGAACATCAACAGTCAGTTAATAAACATCTAATAAGCACCTACTATAATCCAGGCACTGTGCAAAACACTGGGGATAAAAAAAAAAGAGGTAAAAGATAGTCCCTGCCCTCAAGAAACTTACAATCTAATGAGGGAGGACAAAAAACAAAAGGAAGGTAAAAAGTAGGGAGGGAACAATTGGAGAGCAATGTTATAACATTCACTACATTTGTTATTTACTAATTGGTACTATTAAATAAATGAATTGAGTGCCTATCCAGACACATTCTGAAGTCCTAATATAAATGCAGAGTTACTGAAAAGCAGCAAAAGCCCTGTCATTTCCAGTCTACAATTGCCTGCCTCTTGTTTCCCTGACAAGGCATTCATTCTCCGAGTCTCTAGACAGTGTTATAACTAAGCCATGAATAAAGAAACAAAAGTCTGTACATCTACCTAGCTGGCCACCTGCCACTGCTGTTCCCCTCCTAGAGGCGAGGGAGTCATGAAGGTGGTGTCAAAAGACAGAGAGGCAGTCAGTGAGATGGAGTTAGGAAAAAAAACAAGGGTCATAGGACTCTGGAGGATGAAGGGGCCAGGCAGTGAACCAGAAGAGCTAGGTTTCCACAGGAAGTCAGCCCCTGCTCCAGGCAGGTAGGCACCTGGATTTCTTGCAAGAAATGATCATGGTATAATTATAAATACTGCGTTTAAAAGCACAGCCCTGTATTTGAGCTTGAGAGCTCTAGAATTTTAGGTACAGAAGCATTCATATATGGGAGCCCCCTGAAAAGGTGAGCTTGGTTATGCCAAAATCATGAACAAGAGAATTCTGTTCAACACCATAGTATACTAGTCCAAATGAATGAAGAAAGAGCATCTTCTGGTATAGTTGCCTATACTATTAATGAACTGGGCTAGAGATTCACTAATTTGTAAAACACTATAATTTACAGCTGGTCTCCCTATAATTAGAGTTTGTTTGTGAGCTCTCATCATGCTTGTTACCTCCTGAGATGCTGAGAGCAATCTGTAGACTTTGCTGATATAGGCTTAGCTAGTCATATTTATTTCTGTCTTTGAGAATGTGTTATTTGGAGACACGAATAGTAAATGATACCAAGAGGAGGAAGAGAGACTAGGTTCCTGGGCAAATACAAATAGTTATCTATCTGCAGAGGCAAACTTCAGCTCCATCTAAAAGGAAAGACTTCCCAGCAATTAGAACTTCTCAAAAACAGAATGGGCTGCCTCCAGTGGGGTCTCCCATTGGCAAAGGTCTTCCAGCACAGGGCAGCTAGCCATATCAGTGACACTTGTTAGGGATGTCAGAGAGGAAATTCTATTCAACTATTGGTTGGATTAGGTCAGTAGTGCCAAACTGAAACAGAAATAGTTCCCAGAAGGCACATGTTGACTTCAAAAATCAAATTAACTATATCTATGATACTGTATTCTTAGTTTGTTAAATATTACCAATTACAGTTTAATCTGGTTCAGATAGAAAAAAAAAAAAAGCAGAAGCGAGAGCAGCTAGGTGGTACAGTGGATAGAGCTCCAGCCTTGGAGTCAGGAGTACCTAAGTTCAAATTTGGCCTCAGACACTTGACATTTACTAGCTGTGTGACCCTATGCAAGTCACTTAACCCCGAGTGCCTCACTCAAAAAAAAAAAAGCAGAAGTGGGTGATTATACCTTTTCTACCAATAGTTTTTTTTTCCTTCCCAAATTAAACCTCCTACCAAAGTTTCCACAAAACAAACCAAAAAAGCCAAAACAAACCAAAACACTCCACCAAACCAGCCCCCCCCAAAACTGCTTTGAGGAAGAGTATAGTATAGTAGATAGCATTCTGGATTTGTAGTTAGAGGACCTGGGTTTGGATCCTGGATCTGTCACTTATAACCTTGGTTACGCAAATGACTTTACCTCTCTGAGCCTCAGTTTTCTCACTTGCATAGTAAAGCAGTCAGAATTAATGGCCTCTGTAATCCCTTTCTGCTCCAAATTTGTGATCCTAAGGCCAAAAGTTTCACCTCCTATCTCTGGTTAAGATGGTAATAAATAACAAAACAGGAAAGAGACAGGTCCAAGTTTCAAAGACCTAAGATAACCTACAAAATGGAAATTAGGTCCAAAGCTCATAAAAGAAAGTAGGGGTAGGGTTCACGTCAAATGGCCCAACACTTTTTTCCTGTCACTCTGCTGAAATTAAACTGACTTAGCTGGTTTATAGCTTTGAGAAAATGCTAAAATTACATGCTGCTCTTTAATAAATGAATTTATTGGTGGTTGCTCTGGTTTAACTAGTTCTAAGACTTTGAAATGCTAAGTATTATAGGCTAAATATTTGGCACTTTATCTCAGAACAGAACCCAGAATATACAAGTCAACAAAAGTTAATAATCAAGATTTAAGAAGTCTACAAACTTCACAGTTGCTTGGTTCTACTAGTAAAATTCTAAGTAAGCACTTTTAAAATTGGCTTTTGGCTGATGCACCAGTTGGTTGGGAAGAAGACCTAAGGCATGAAACAAATCTACGTGAGCTTTCTCGGCTCTTGTTTCTTACACTCAGAGCACGGGTGAAGTGGTATGTTGTTCTTTGGGAAACCTACAGACTCAACACTTGGGGCTAACAGTCTACTATACTGCAAACACCATACTGGGTTCCTTTGTAACAGGAGTCTCTATCAGTTAAGTCATTAATGGATCACAAGATCATAGATTTCGAGCTGGAAGAGACCTTAGACACCATTGAGTGCCACCCCTTCATTGTACTGATGGGGAAACTGAGGCAGAGAGAGGCAACATGACCACGGTCACACAAGTAGAAGGTGGCAACTCTCTTTTCATGATACCATGGTGCACGGTGATGGCTTGAAGTCTGGTCCCCAAAGAATTCTAGAGTTCTAATAGAAACATTTCCGAATTCTCCTGACTGGCTGAAGGAGTGTATGGCAACACCCATTAGAAGTCACCTCCAATGACTCTATTGAAGGAATCGGATGTCATTCACTGTCTTATTAAAGCTTTTGGATCATGTCTCTCATGTACTGAATTTAGAGCAAACTACTCAATAGCTTTACTTAGGATACTTCACTGAAGGCAAACTCCAGTAAATATTCCTATTTCTCTCTATAAAAGGCTGCACATCAAGAATATAGCCTCTCCACTCCCCTACTCCCAACAGAATTTATAGGCTCAATGCTTCATTCTAAGAAGATAATTCTACAGGTTCCCCCAAACGCTTCTTGATTTTGAATGAACACACTGCTATATACAGCTTGGGCAGGTTGTTTGTTTGTTTTTTCTGAAGATAGGTAGCTCTTAGTCGATAAACCAACTATAAGAGAGAGTCAAAATACCTGAGCAGTTTCTTCCTCTTGTTTCCTCTTTTCTTCTTCAGTTTCCACTAGTCTCTGTTTGGTCAGAAGCAGCTCTTTATTTAAAACATCTGCCTTGTCTTCAGCCTGCAATCACAGGGAAATTAAACGGCATAAGTGGGTGTGCATTTGTAACATTTCCTATGGTCCTAAACAGTTTTTCAACACTGGGCAAATGCCGATCTGGCCATCTACAGATACATGGAAATTATATGTAACACATGTGTGTGTTCAAACATGCTTATCATCTATTGTATCCATCTATCACTATCCATCTATCCATCTATCCACAACCACGTCTTATTAAAAGATGATGATGCTTTCTGTGAGTGTCCCCAAAGGTTCTCTCTCGTGTCCTTCTCTCTCTGTACCCTTTCTCTTTGTGATATTGGTTCATGAATTAAATTACCTCAGAATCACAGACTTTGAGAGGTGAAAGGCCTTCAGTGATCATCTTTAGTCTAATTCATAGCTGAAAAAGAATCCCTACAATAACATACCCTATGAAGTCATCTAGCCTCTTTCAAGACCTTCATCTTTATGCAAACAATGCTGAAATCCCTATGGCTGGCCCACATCCCTCTTCTGAACTCCAGCTCTTCATTACTGATTGCGTGCTGGCCACCTCCACCTGGTTATGCCAGAAGTAGCTCGAGGTCAATATGTCCAAAGTGGAACTTACCTGTTCCCCTAAATCCACCCCCCTCTTCCTAACTTCCTTATTTCGATTGAGGGCACCCAGATTCAGAACCTCAGAGCTATCTTTGATTCCTTCCTTCCCCCCTCCCCAATCTCCAATCACTTGCCAAGCCTTGCCAATTCTACCTCCAGAGCATCTCTCATATCTACCCATCTCACCACTGAAATAGCCACCACCCTAACTTAGGTGCCTAGCGCTTCTCAACCCCACTGTCACACCAGTCTCAACTCTGTTCTCTCTGCAGCTAGCCTTTCCCCTCTCTAATCCATTCTTCACACAGCTGCCAAATTAATACTGCTAAAAGTACAGATCCGACCAAGTCACTGCCTTACTCTGAAGCTTTAGTGGTTCCCAAATACTTCTAGGATAACATTTTAAATCCTCAGGTTGGCATTTAAAGCCTTCCACAATATTGCTCCCACTTCTCTTTTCAAACTTATTTCCCATTATCATCCTTCATCCAAGTCTTTGCACAGGACGCTGCCTGGAATGATACTCCATCCTCACCTCTGCCTTTCAGCACCCCTACCATCCCCCAAGGCGGCTAGGTGGTACAGTGGATAGATTGCCGGGCCTGGAGTTGGGAAGACTTGAGTTCAAATCGGGCCTCAGATACTTACTAGCTGAGGGATCCTGGGCAAGTCACTTTACCCTGTTTGCCTCAGTTCCTCATCTGTAAAATGAGCTGGAGAAGGAAATGGCAAACCACTCCAGTACCTTTGCCAAGAAAACCCCAAATGGGGTCATGCTGTCAGACATGACTGAAATGAGTAAACAACAACAAAACATCCTCCAAAGCACAGAAGGAGAGCTGCCCCTACATTAGGCTTTTCCTGATTCCCTTAGTAGTTGGTATCAAAGTCAATTTGCATAAATGTGCACATAGTTATAGGTATACTTGTTATATTTCTTCCAGTGGAATATCGGTACCTTACAGGTGGCGATTATTTCATTTTTGCCTCTGTATATGCCTTGCACATAATAGACTGTAAATAAGTGTCTGTTGACCTGAATGGAAGACTAAGGGTTGTTCTTACGCTTATTCATTCATGGACAGCGGTTGCAAAGGCTGACAACTCTTCTCATTTTCTCTGGAATAGAGCTACAGCCACCATCGTGATGCCGCCATAATTGGTAATACTCTGGCTCTTGAACACATTGTTGGGTACACAGACCTTTAATCCTAAAGATTGCACCATTCCTCCCCGCCGGGTGCTAGCTTGTCCTGTCTGTGGTCGTGCTGCTGTTTCCCATCAGTTCCTACAACCAGGTTCAATTATTTGAAATTATGCATCCTCAAGACTTGTCTATCCTCTGCTTATTATTATCCCACTTCAACCTGACATACAGCAGCCTACTATCTTGATCCCGTTTCTTTTCTGTATAAAAACCTCTGCTTGTTCCATGCTCTGACAAGCACCAGGACAATCAAACCCGGTGGAGCCTCATTACCTCGAGGATCAAACATAAATTCTGTTTGGCATTTAAAGGCCTCTCCAATCTGGCCTCCATCTACCGAGCTGGCCTAATTACACCTTACAACCCTCAAATTCCTTACTCTAGAGTCAAAGAGGCTTTCTCACTATTCTTCATGCTTGGAACTCCATCTTGCTACCCAGTGCTTTTGGCCCTGTTTGTCCCTCATACCTGGAATTCACGATCTCCTCACTTCCACCTCTTAGAATCCTTCAGTATTTAGCTCAAGCAGCACCTTCTACATGAAGCCTTACCTGATCCCTCCAGGTTCTTCTGGCTTCCCATCCTGCCCCTCCCCCAATCACTTTGCCTCTATTTTGCCTTAACCTATATATGCCCAAGTCTCCTTCAATATAATGTAGGCTCCTTGAGGACGGGGACAGTACCTAATACAGTACTGTCCAGGGTAGGCATTTAATAAATTTTTTTTTTGACAAACTGAAACTGAATTTTAGAGATACTTATGTTTATGCCAATTGTTGGTAGCAAGGAAAGCCTAAAGACAAAGAAATGCATGTGAAGGTAAGGTGACTACCCAAGCAAAGTGGGAGGAGCCAAAATGGCTCTCTGAATTGGAACTTACTGAATTGTAAGAAGCTTGGAATGCAAAGAAAAAAATGGGATCCAGAATGCACAAGGGGACAGTGTAATTAACAAATGTCTCAGAAGTACAAGGACACTATGTTGAATCAGCAGGACTACCTGGCCCCAAGTGCTAAAGAAATTCTCCAGGCAGTATCCCGATAAGCCACTAAAGCTGGGTTCTAATCATCTGTGCAGAAAACAGTTTCAGCTGAAGACAAAAGAGTTTCAGGCCTAGGGTTGAAGACAAAAGAACTTTATTCCCAATGTGTTCAAGAAGAGATGAATGCTGGAAGAACTGAAAATGCCTAGAGATGCTTGACCTGTGTGATTTTAACTTACTTAACTTGTGTATAAGCTGTATCCCACGAGCCTCTCAGATGATGGAGCATTCTGAGCTGCAGTGGACTTGGTGTGAGATAAGGAAGCCTTTGGGAGAACACCCCGGGCTCACTTCTCCCTTCAGGAGAAATACTAACATCCGGGGCAGAGGTAACCAAAATTCCCTAAGCAGTGCAGGGATCAGCCAGGGAGCTTTCTGTTTGTGTTCCTTCTCATGCCACGTGGGCAGCCCCAAAGAACTCCACAGGACTTTCGTTTGTTTGTTTTCTTGGGGGGGAAGGTTACATTTTGAGTTCCTCCCAACACAACACTAGAGGAGGTCAACATTTCTCTCTCTCTCTCACACACACACACACACACACATATATGTATATGTATTTAGTATATGTATATGTGCGTGTGAAACCATACAATACATACTCCCATATAAGCAGTCCTTTCTCTGGAGGTGGATAGCATCATTCTTCGCAGGTCCTCTGTAGTTGATTTGAATATTCATATTACTCGGAATAGCTCATTCGAGCTTTATGGCATAGGGAGCTGGCAGAGTGACTACACTCTAGGACAGTATACGTCATTGTCCTAGAGTGTACTAATTTTTCACAATGCAACTGTCACATCTTTGTGATTAGGGATTTTGCTGCTACCAGGAATTTGTGATAACAGACTTCCCTCAAAGATGCTATCATTCGTAGGTGTGCTAAAGATTTTGGACAAATGCTAATATATGCATATATTAGGGTAACCCCAAAGTCTTAAAGCTTAAAACTGTACTACTTTTGGGACATCCTGTGTGTGTGTGTGTGTGTGTGTGTGTGTGTGTGTAATTGGTTTTCTTAGTGATTCTATGTATTTTATTTTATACATTTAAAAAAATGATTCTGAGAAGGGGACCATAGGCTTCACTAGGCTGCCAAAGGGGCCCACGACACAAGCAAGGTTAAGAACCTTGGAATTAGGGGCAGCTAGGTGGCGAAGTGGATAGAGCTCCAGTCTTGGAGTCAGGAGGACCTGAGTTCAAATCCAGACACTTGACACTTACTAGTTGTGTGACCCTGTACAAGTCACTTAACCCCAACTGCCTCACCAAAAAAAAAAAAAAAAAAAAAAA